TTTGATAAGTGGCTCGACGTTCTTAAGCCCGGAAGGCATCACATTATAGCAATATGTGCCGAAGTTTGTTATGAACGAAGTTTTTTCCTGATCCTTCGGGTTCATCTTGATTTGGTTGTACCCGGAGTAAGCATCAAGGAAACTCATCAACTCATGCCCGGCCGTCGCATCAGTCATTTGATCAATGTTTGGCAATCAGAACGAGTCTTTTGGGCACGCCTTATGTAGGTCCTTACAGTCTACGTACATACGAAATTTATTCTTCTTCTTGGGAGCTACTACCAAGTTACCTAGCCAGCCAGGATGCTTTAACTCCCAGATCAAACCGATATTAAGCAAGTGATTTACCTCTTCTTTGACGAATTTGTTTCTAAACTTGGCAATGAGGCATTTTTCTGCCTCACCGAAGGGATGTTAGGGTCCAGACTTAACTTATGCACGACCACTTCTGGTGGGATACATGTCATATCCGCATATGACCATGCAAACCAGTCAACATTAATTTTAAGAAATTTTATGAATCCTATCATGAGCTCGGGATTTAGTCCTGTCCCCAAATGAAACTTCCTTTACAATAACTTATCGAATAACGCAACTCATTCAAGTTCTTCCGCTGTGGACTTTGTTGCATCTATTTCTTATGGTACCTGGAAATATCTTGGTACCTGATAACATTCTGATGACTCCTCCCCCCTACTGACTTCATTTGGCTTGGGAGGGGTGTGTCGGCTCCTATGATTGATATGTCACATACTCTTACCTTTGCTACTGGAAATTGAGATTGCGTTCATCTCCTTTATTGCCGATTGATCTCCTCTTATCCGTTTGATTCCCTTTGGGGTTTGGAACTTCAGAAGTTGATAGTAGGTTCATGGCACAACCTTCATCTCGTGCAGCCATGATCTTCCCTAAATGATATTGTAAACTATATCACTGTCTACTACTTCGAAAAAGGGTCGTCTCCACGCCCCTTCGACATTCTTAGGCAACATAATTTCTCCTCAGGTTGTCATGCTTTCTGGATTGAACTTGGTGAGGAGATTTGTGGCCGGAATGATACTTTCGGTCAACTTGGCTTGCTCCAGTACTCTTCATTGGATAATATTGGCTGAACTTCCACTGTCCATCAAAACACGTTTAATTTTAAAATCTAAAACATTAAGAGAGATTACTAGGGCATTGTTGTGTGGTAGTAAGAGTCCATATGCGTCCTTTGCTATGAAGGTGATGTAGTCCTTAGAGACTTCATGGAGTCTCTTGCTATGGGTTATTGATACCTTCATCTTTTTAGTTGCCGAGAAAGTTACACCATTAATCTCGTTCCCCATCGAAAATCATGTTGATGTCAGATAAGGGGATCTTCTCCTGCTTTCGAGGGTTCCGGGTTTTCTCGGTTGTGGCCGTAGTTGTTCCTAGCCCCGTCATTTAAGAATTCTCTGAGATGGTCATTTTTCAGCAAAGTTGCCACCTTCACGCGCAAATGCCGGCAGTTCCCAGTCCGGTGGCTGTTGGTCTCATGGTACTCGCACAATAAATTAGGATCCTTCTGACTGGGATTAGATCTCATTGGCCTAGGGAACCGTGCTTCCTTAATGCTCCTCATGGAAAATACTAGTTCCCCACGCTGACGTTGAAGTTGTATTTGGATAATCTGGGGTAAGTGGAGACTCAAGAGCTCGATACCTCTTTGTTCTGCAATGATATGTTGTTCCGACCGTGATCAGCTCTCCTATCAGTAGTGAATCTATCCCTGATCGAAAACCTCTACAGCGTCCTTTGGCCCTTTCATAGGGTAAAACTGACCTCTAGAAGTCCGTCGATCTGTGTCAAAATCATCCTTCAATTTCTCTTTATTCTTCTCTAGATCTTGACCTTTGGTTGATGCTGGGAAACTGAGCTGGTTATCCTCAATTCTTATCTTCGACTCGTACCGGTTGTGAACATTCACCTATGTTGTTTCCTGGAACTCGAGCAGACTTTCTTTCAATTTTTGGGAAGCATCGAAACTTCTCAGATTCAGCCCTTTAGTAAACGCTTCAACTGCCCATTTGTCTAGTACAACCGGTAATAACTTCCTTTCTTTCCAGAATCTGGTCACGAACTCCCGCAACAATTTAGACTCTCCTTGTGCTATCCTGAATATGTTGGTATTTCGGTCCTGTACCTTCATTTCCCCGGCATAGGCCTTGATAAAAGACCGCGAGCATCTCGAAGGAATCTATTGTGTGCTCAAGTAAAAGCGAATACCACGTCAGGGCCCTTTTCGTGAGGGTTTTCCCAAATTTCTTCAGTAAGATTGACCTAATCTCGTGCAGAGCTAAGTCATTCCCCTTCACTATTGTTGTATAGGTGGTGATGTGCTCATGAGGATCCGAAGTCCATCATATTTCGAGACGTCTAGCATCTTGAACTGCTTCGGGATCAACTCTAGCGTCGCGCTTGGTTTAAATGGCAATTGGGTGTATTTCTTTGAGTCCCGTCCTTTCAATACTGGTGGTGCAACCGGTATCTGATCCATTCGGGCATTTATTTCTCTCATAAACCGCATGAGTTCGGTTTTAAAGTGATCATTCTCATTGTTACTACTGGATCCGCTACTATTTCCCCCGGGCCCTGTCAAAGCCGACTTCTCCCCTCGGGGTATTTTTGTTAACCCTCTGCGTTGTTTGGTTCGCTGGAGCACCGGGAGGAGCTGGTCCTCGTCCATTAACGTTGTTGGAAGCGCCTGACAACGCCTGCCTCAACTTTGTCATGACCTGATCGTGTCGTGACAGATGGCCCATAATAGCCTTTTTTTGCTCTCTCAGGAATCTTAACTATTTTGGCAGCGTGCTCGTCTTCAGCATCATCAGGGGTTGCCTCTCGAATATGTCGTGAATATTATCCGCCATGGACTTGTGTGGCCTCATACCCCTCGTTGCGGTATCACTGATCGAGTCTTCATACTGAGGCTGATTTCCTTAGGGCCTCAACATTATATGGGATGTTGACATTGTTATCTTCCATTTTTTAATGATTTGCTGTGAACAAAGAATCAAACAGGTTAGTAATATATGCAAGGATCAATCCAATTACGCAATTGTCTAAGCCCCACGACGGACGCCAAACTATTTACTCGTAAAACGGTACAGTTGAATTTATACATGATTTATAGACAAGCGAATCGATTTGATTCCAAAATAATAAATAAAATTAAATAAAAATACAAGATTTAGCGTTAAAATTTAGATGAGAGTACAAAGAGCTTGGTTTCGGGAACAGAGCTTCTGAAGGCAGTAATAACGATCTTAATGAGCAAGAAAATGAGAATGTTATTGAACTTTGAACACTATATCACATAAGTTTGTTAGAAAGTTCTTTTTTTTTTACAATGGATGTTGAGCTTACTATTTATAACCGCACCTAGAGAACAATGTTCTAGGATCAAGCCCCTCTTAAATGACAATTATGGGGCCTTTAAAGAATGTGTACGGCTGGCTATGAATGTCATATTCTTTGTAACGGACTACGCACTTAATGCTATAGAATATTCTTCATTGAATGTTCCGGATGACAGGCCTTTATTGCTATATAACTAATCCCGGGATTAATTATATCGCAATTTTATCCAACCAAACGTTGGATAAACTCATTTAAACTTAATCCCTGAATTAATTATCCCTTATCCCTTTTACGAAACCAGCCCTTAGTTCTGAGTAAAGTCAAAGAGACCATTGCACGCATAGTATATATGAGAATGTATAAGACATACTGTAAAAAAATAGTAAGGGTTGTTTGGTAATTTGGTAGCTGGTTATAGGATTATTCACGTATTATGAGCAACATAACTAATATCATATATATTTGGCAGACTTTTAGTTACTTAGTATAGAAGTCAGCAAAACCAATGTTATGTTTGGTTGTTTTTTCCATTAGAAGTATAAGTAATGCATAGATAAGTTTGTACAACAAATCTATGGGAGTATCATTTATGCAAGGTAAAATATGGAATAACTAATACATGTATTAGTTATACATGAATTAGACAATCAAATGACCAACAAACCCACATATTTTAAATTACATATGTATAATTAAAATAAAGTAAACATTTAACATAAACAAAAAAATCTCTACCTTACAATCTATAAATTACTTATCCATGCATTAATAATCCTTATATAACTAATTTCTTCATAATTAGATCATGCATAACAAAATCTTGTATAATTGATCCTTGCATAGCTAATTTATCCATAACTATTCCTGATATTACTAATACCCCTAAGTAATTTATTCCCCTAGATTCCAACTCGTAGTGAGAAGTTAGAAAGAAAGGTACTTGGTATAACATTTCCTATTTTGAAAAAATAAACATGCTTTAGGTATACATCCTTCTTCCTTTTTTCTATTTTTTTTACTTTTTTTCGAAATCAGCGTGTGTTCATAAAATTTCCGATTTTCACTTGAAGATGCATTTTGGAAATTTTCGAAAATTTAAAAAACTCTAAAAAGCTGTTTTTTAAAATTTTCACTCAAATCACTTACAAAACTTCAAAAATAACCCAAACTAAAATTTATGTCCAAACACAACTTTAAATTTCGAATACCATTTTCACTTGAAATTTTTTTCCACCATTTTTAGAATTTTACAATTTTTATGTCCAAACGCCTACTTATGCCACCATATTTATTTGATTTGCTTTCGCTAAGTGACATAGATAATCTCCACATCATTCAGGTCTAAATCTAAGTTATTAATGTTAGATATATAATAAGAGAGCATATTAACAACAGTTTGTGAGATAGTCTGTTTTTTATTCTTTTAATTTGAAGAAGAACCTTAGTATTATGGGGAAAACAATCGTTGTCCACTTATACTTACTCTACGGTGTTGACTTTATAGCCATAAAATTACGAAAATTTTGTTCAACGCTCCATTCTTCAGAAAATATCTCTAAAACACCCATATAAATTTTCACATTCACCATTTCTTATTATCCTTCCCATTTAAAGCACATTTTATTTTTCATCAACACTCAAAAAAATAAATAAATCAATTTTTACTTCACTTTTTAATAATAATGGACGCCCTTTTTGCAAAGGGAAAGGAGTTTCTCAGTTCCAAAGATGACAAAGAAAATCCCGACGACCGTTACAAGGAAACTTCCGATGACGATCACCGTGAAAAGAGAACTTCCGGCCACCGTGGTGGTGGCGCCAAGACCGCCGCACACAATGATACAGAAACTTCAGATGATGATCACCGTGAAAAGAAAACTTCCGGCCATCGTGCAGGTGGCAAGACCACCGCACACAATGACGACACAGAAACTTCCGATGACCACCATGAAAAGAAAACTTCCGGCACCCGAGCAGGTGGCAAGACCGCTGCCGCAAGCGGCAGTGCTGCTGCTCATAATCCCAACGAGCACAAAAAGCCAACAAATTCTGAGCTGATGGCTAGCGCAAAGCTGATAGCTGATGCCGCACAAGCTAAATTAGGTGGCGGTGGCGGCGCACAAAAAGAATTCGACAATGCAAAGCTTGCCGGAGCTGCCGCTGACATTCTTAGCGCCGCCTCACATTACGGGAAATTTGGGGAAGAAGGAATTGGAAAGTATCTTGGACAAGCTGAAGATTATCTCCACGGTTATGAGCTCAAAAATTCCAAAGGCAACAAAGCTGCTGGCACCGGCACCGGTCCCGCATCCAAAAAGGGTTCCGGTACTGCGGCTAACAAGGGCTCGTCGGAGCATCGCCGCGATGACGACAATTCTAGAGATGATGATGATGGGCACGGAGAGCATAAACGGATGCCGAAGAAACAATCCGGTGAACGTTACGACCATGAACGTTCAGAGGAAGGTGATCGTGATCATTCTGGAGGTGGACATGGCGAAAATATGAAGAAAGCTGAAGGGAGGTTGAAGAAAAAATTTGGTGACAATTCCGAACACGAACGTTTAGAGGAAGATGATGATCATGCTGGAGGTGAGTGTTGAAGTGTTACAAAGATCTCTAATTATTTATTTATACTCAGTTTATGTAAATCTTTTCGGAGGAGTACAACAGTAAAATTACTTTTGGTGTGAATTCAGACATAAAGTTTTCAAATTTTTTGAATAAAATTTACATATATAAAAATTATATATATAGAAAGTATAAGTCACACTAATTAGCAATTTAAAATATTTAAAAATTATTTATAAAAAATTTAAATAAAACCTTGTTTTGACTTTCCAAAAAGTAAGATTATCAGTAAAGTGGAAGAGAGAGAGTATTATTCTTCAACATGCTCTATATAAGACCTAATTCTTTATTGTATTAACCAACCACATGAATATCATTTTTTTGAGTAGCGGTGAGATATGAACCTAGGAGCTATGCTGTAATTTCATTTTAAATTATGTAATAATCTTATCGAAAAGTTCACTTTTAATTACTCTATTTCATTAAGTATATTATGTCTGAACAGGGCACGACGAACATACGACTAAGGGAAAAGGAATATCCAAGAAACAATCTGGTGGTGATAATTATGGGCATGAACGTTCAGAGGAAGTTGATGATGATGATCACTCCGGAGGTGGGCACGGCGAACATATGAAAAAAGCTGAAGGGAGGTTGAAGAAAAAATTTGGTGACAACTCCGAACATGAACGTTCAGAAGAAGATGATAGTCGTTCTGGAGGTGGATATGGCGAGTATCTCAAGAAAGCTCAAGGAATGATCAAGAACAAATCCGGCGACGACGACAGTTCAGAGAAAAGTGATGGCGAATCCGGTGGAGGGTACGGCGAGTATTTGAAAAAAGCTCAAGGAATGCTTAAGAAAAAGTCAGGTGACGACGATGGTTCAGAGAAAGGTGATGGTGAATCCGGGGGAGGATACGGTGAGTATATCAAGAAAGCTCAAGGAATGCTTAAGAAAAAATCAGGTGACGAAGATGGTCCAGAGAAGGATGATGGAGATTCCGGTGGTGGGTTCGGCGGGGTCATGAAAATGGCTCAAGGTATGTTTAAAAAAGATTCCGACCACGGCGACCGTAGCCCCACCAGAGATTCTAGAGATGAAAGGTGAGAAAAAAGGAGACTTGTTAAAGATGGCTGGAAGTTTCTTCAAGTAATAAGAATTAAAAAGCATTTGATCAATTCTTTCGTTTCTCTTTTTAAAGTATTAGGATTATAGTGATTTTGTTGTTGTTGTAACTATATATAGTTCGATTTCAATTGTAATAACGGATAACATGTATCAGGTGGCTCGGAGCTGCCATGCAATAATACATGTCAAGTAGGATAGATCAATGTACAATTTTTGATTAGATTCAAGTTTTTTTTTGGGGTGTAAACTTAAATAAATTAACTATCTCACACTTTTTAATTTCATGTTTCATGAAAAATTCTAGTAGATTATTTGATCTTATTCATATTCCAATCTATCTAAATTTAGTGTTCAAACTCGTCTTAGTTCTTATGATTAACCCCCCCCAAAAAAATTAATCTTTAAGCTAATAAAAAACTGCGGGGTGTATAATAACCTCTTAATTCTATTAAAAGAAAATGAAGTATCAAAAAGAAAAAAAAACGGCATTCCTTCACGAGTAGCTGAATATGTTAAAATGAAATTCAAGGTTTATATAATTAAAGGGTTGAAAACTTTACAATGGCTGCTATATGCTATTGAAATGATTTTATATTTTTTTTTTGGCATAACTCGATGGGAAAACTGCTAATTTCAACAAATATAATTTTAATAAAATATAACAACAAAATATGTTTAATTATTTCTGTTTTTTTGGTAATAACCGTGAATATTACCATTGACAACCAAAATTTTCAATATAGCCAAAGAGCACTTAGGACTATAACCACCTCCTAGGAAGGGTGTTATAACTTACTAAGCCTCAGACAGTAAATACTAATTAAAACGTCTGTTAATCAAGTTCTGGCAACTAGTAGCTCTTCTCTTATTCTGTATATCAACAACAACAACATACTCAGTTTAGTCCCACAAGTGGGATTTAGGGGGTGGGGTGATTGTTTAACCAAAAAATGAAATTTTGGTCAAAGCTTTAATTTAGAAGAACTCGGGTTACTGATAATCAAAAGAATATATAAAAGAAAGTAATTTGGCTAGCAATAATATAATAAGAAGAGAAACAAGTAAATCAATATATTCAGATAGTATTTTGTGTCCCTACAATTGATCAGTTATCTCCCTTTTATAGCAATTTGGGAGATGTGCGTTTTGCCCTTGTCATAATTAGGCTATTATGAGTAATTAAAGACATTGAATGCTACGTTACACAATCATTGTATTTAATACAGATTCTCTAACGTATTCAGTATTTAATGCTCATTAAATACTGTATATATAATCTCATATATTGTCAGATTTATTCCCCTTGACTCCTGGACCTAAATGACTTAAATAGGTACGGGCGCCGAGTCCTTTGAATATTTGCCCGTGCCTCTGCCTTTGCCATTGCTTGTATCTGTTGAAACTCATGTTTCTTTGTCAGCTGTAACTCTTTGACTAGTCTACATGTCTTGACACGTCATCTTTATTCCACTTTAATATGTAAACTCAAATTTTTCCAATACAGATAGTCCTCCCACTTGCCACTTATTCATCAATTGAATATTTGGGAAGTGGATTTCATTAAAACGAGAATTTTTGTCACCATTAATGCTATGACAAAATTGACGCTTCAATTGTCACTTCCATTTAATGTTCTTCACACGTGTCACCTTTTCATTAGTTCTGCAGTTTTGCAGCTCTTTTTAAGGCTTTTTCACGGCTCCACTATTCATGAAGCGTCAGCTATCATTATTATGGTACTTCCATCATTACACTTTTTCTTTCGGTGGTTGCTTATCAGTATAAATATAATTTCTTTCTTTGTTTTTTCCACATAAAATTTACTGAATATTCAATCTCTCAAATCCCTGTTTGCTTCTTCATCGTATCATCCTCCTTCGTCATGTCTTCTTCAAATTCTAACCCTAGAAGGGTTCCCATAGTTGATACCTTCCCTAATGCCCCCATTAGAAGCAGAAAGGGAGGTAGGCTTCGTAATTTAGGATCTGTTCGCGGTTTTTCCACTCCTTTACCTAGTTCTGGCCCTTCTTCTAGAACTAGGGGTTCACTTTCACAAAGATCTTCTTCAAGAGGTAAGGAACCTTCTGAACCTCTTCATGAGCCTACAGTAGAGGAGATAGTTCCTACATAACTATCTTTTTATCATGACAGAGAATCTCTTAGGAACCAAGTCTCTGGTTTAGATCGTGCTGATATTTATCCCACTCAAATTACAGAAGGTTTGATTTATGTAGTTCGTAGAGACTGTCATTGGAGTAGTGATTTCCCTATTATTACCCTAATCCAAACCAAAGAAATACCTCTTACATGACAGGGTTTTCTTTTATTTATACATACCTTTTCACCTTAGGGTTTAAACCATCTATTGACCCTATTATTCTTGAGTTCTGTCGTTTCTTTGATGTTTGTTTGGGTCAAATTGGCCCAATCATATGGAGGGTTGTTGCCTGTTTAAGGCATTTGACCAACACAACCGGTGTTCCCTTTACTTTCCCTCATTTGATTCATCTTTACTCCCAAAGACTCTTTCGCAATGGTGTTTTCACACTAGTAGCCAGGAGCAAGAGAGTTTTGGTGGGCCCTGAGGATGACAAAGACCGTGGCTGGTATGCCAGGTTTATTGCCGCCCCCACTGTTGGTTTAGTGGGTGATGATAATGTTCCCTTCCCTGAGAAGTGGAATTTTGCACGTAAGTCTTTTTTACTTTCTCGTACCTTTTTTCTTTCAAGTTTGTCAACTTTTCTAATTTTACCTTTTTTTAGCAACCATGGGAGTTGTGGAAGACGTTCCCAATTTCCGTGATTGGGTAGACAAGTTATTGAGGACCGCACCAATGGATGGTAGGTCTTGAAAGACACTTTCTAACCGTTTTGGTTGGAAAGTAAAAACTCATGGTAAGAGCTTTTATTTTATTTCATCTTTTCGTGTATTTTTTTATTGCACTAATTTCAATCCATCTTTTTATCAGGATTTGCTATTCGTGGAGTCACTGCCGAGGCAGTCGCGACTTCCCGCATCTCTTTGGAAAGGGCTCAAGAAATAATCTTGGGTTCTTCTGCAAAAAGAAAAGTCGTTGCCATTGAGGAACAAGACTCTGAAGAGGAGGAAGACGGGGGCTCTTTGGTGACAAGGCCACGAGCTCGAAGACGCATCATTTCTGATAATAAAGCATAGGTATCCCCCCATCATTTTGTTCCTCTTACCGAGTCTGCTGAGACTCCGATCCTGATTCTCGATGATGACATTGCTCCCTCTGCTACTCATGACTCTGCTGAGCAGCTTTTTATTATCAGGTTTGGTAGTGAAGGCTTAGGCCCTGTTTTAGATGAAGTACCCTTGGCCTCTTTTTTGACACCCATGTCTGTAACTCATTCTTTGCCAGTCTCGATTGTTTCTGTTCCTTCCCAGACTATTTTTACCACCTCTTCTGTTCCTCCTTCGACAATTCCTCCTCCAAACATTCATCGCACTGAGGTTGGATCCTCAAGTAGGAGTGCTGCTATGAGACGAGTAGTCATTGAAGTTCCTGCTGAGGGCAGTCTCTTAAAGAAATTAGGTCAAGCGGATGTATGGCTAGAGCCTTTAATTGGCCCAATTGAGAAAGCTAAGCTAGAGAGCCATAGTTCCTTGACCCTGATGAACGATATTGTGCATGCCACTTTGAAGGTATTCTCCTTCTCTTTTTTCTTTTATTTTGTAATTTTTCTATATTTGAGGATTCTTATTTTCTTTTCCCCCTTTTTAGGCTAACGGCACAAAGATGATGAAAAGAGTTGCCCACTCAGATCAATTAGTGCGTGATTCGCAGTTAGAGGCGTGCAACTGGAGGGAACAATTTGAGAGCTTGCAAATTGATGTGGAGTATTTAGAAGAGAGTAAGAGTACCTTGGAGCAGCAGGTACGAGCTTTGACTTCAGAGTTGGCGGTTGAAAAGGCTTCCTCAAGCCAAGCAAATAAAGAAAAAACTCACCTTGAAACTTCTTTCTCAGAGTAGCTGCCAAGGCTAGTGAAGAAATTAGAGAGTTGAAGGCTCTTTTAAGTAAAAAGAGGCTTACGCTGGGGAGCTCGTACAAAATTTGACTCAGGCACAAGAAGACCTTCGAGCTTCTTCTGATAAGGTGCGTGCTTTAGAAAGCTCCCATGCCTCTCTCCAGACTTCTTACACATCTGCCTTGGCTGAAAATAAGAAGTTAAAGAACGAGATTGCTGACTGGGAAAGGGATTATGAGATCCTTGAAGATAAATCTGTTATTGAAGTAAGTTGGGCGTTTTTGAATTCACGTCGTGGTACCCTAATTGAAGCTGACCAAGAAAATTTCAACTTGGAATCTGAGTTGGCTAAAATCAATGAAACTATTGAGAAAGCTCGGCAAACTCAAGATTTTCCTTCTCCCGTGGCCGAAGCTTCCGTGAATGTTGAAGTCAATACGGGTATCCCAACTATTTCAAGCCCAGTCGAGCCTGTTGCTGCAAGTCAAGTTGAACCCGCAACTGTTGATACTCATGCCCAAGTTGAGCCCGTTGCTGTTGATGCTCCTGCTTCAGTACCTTCAACTTCTGAGTGACCAACTTTAGTTGTTTGAATATCTTTGTTTTTGTTTTATTCGGAAAATTGTGATCAAACCCTTGGTTTCATTTGAGGGTTTATTTTGGAAACGCAAGTCCCCAGACCTTTTCATGGGGCAATTTGTATAAACAATTCGCAGCTTTACAACTAAGTTCATACTTAGTCTTAAGTTTTTTTTAAACATTAAGAAGTTTTCTTGTTATTATCTTGAACTTCTATTTACTTTATTCATGCCTTTATTTCTAAGGACTTATAGAATAATTTGCATTTTTATTCTTCAAAAATGCTTTTGTTAACCTCATGACTAATTAATTTAAACATGAGTTTTATAAAAGAGGGCCCTCTTATATTCGACACTTAATTAAGAAGACGTCTCAACTTCATAATGGTGTTTAAAAGAAATAGGAACACACATGTTTCTTTGAAATAACTTTGACAAATTTTTATTTGAACCTTGTCTAGTTTTGAATAACTCTTTACATGTATTTGAATTACATCTATAACTTTCTCGTAACTGTTTTTCTTATAACAGATTTTAAAAAGTAAAAATAATAAATACGAGGTTTTTATTTATAACCCGTTTCAGTATATAGCTTTTACCCTAACTATAGTAAGGTTTTCTTTGACCTTAGTTCGTGACTTCATGACTTTTACTCTGCACTTGACTTTTTCAGGCTTGAACTTTGATTTTTCTCAATCTTCA